TGGTCAAGACCAAGATAAAGCAAGACCTATACAACAAGAAGTGTAACTCCATTTTCATTCAAGTTTGGATGTGAAATTCTGATTTATTTAGTAATTTTTTAGAAGGATATTGGGAACAAGATGGTACTATGGAGTAGAAGCAAAGGATTTATGTAAATTAGCAGTATTTGCCAAACCCTCTGAATGTTAGATGGCACAACTTGCTAGTGACATCCTCCACCATATTAATCTTGTGCTTTATTGCAGCTCTTAATTAGGTCTTATGTCACTATTTAGTGAAAATAATTGTAAACAGTCTTTACTGTAGGAGGAAAAAGTAGTCATCTTTCTTGATCCAAACTTAAGAAACCAATAAGCAGAATTCAAGCAACTTAATATTATGGAAAGTTGGTAGTACATAGGCTGCTCACAGCCAAATAAATGGGATTTTATTGCATATGAGAGTTTGGTTGGAGGATTATAATTATAAACATGTTTCCATCAAATTACCAATGAATTGTGAAGGTCAATGTATAATTCTAGTCATAATGTTCCTAATTGATGTAAAACATATATCTATGCTTTTCTGTCAAGGAGCCCAGTTCAGTATAAAACACAGCTGCAGTTTTTTGAATGTTCTAGCTTCACTTGTACTGAAAATTGTCACTTCTTTTCTTCCTCTCTTTTGAAGAATGTTGCTATGAACTTGAGGACTTACATGATGTTTTATAATCAAGTATAGTTATTATTTATGGTACTTTAATTGTCCCAAGCCTAGCTAGGCAGTTCTGGCTGACATGACCCCTTGGCATGGCCCACCACACCTGGTCCCTTTGCTTACCACACTGCTACATCTGGGCATTTCTCCAAGGGGTCCAAGTTATTTCAGTAGGAAATGTTTAGAAAACCAGAGCTGAGACCAGAAGTTTCTCTTGTAACTGACACATCACTGCTGCTAAGCCTTCTCCATGGATCGAATTAGGGAAGGGCCTACTTTGTGCGTTCATGTTGATGTTTCCATCTAAAAGGAAACATTGACAAGAACCTCCCATTCCATTAACTTATTTGATTTTGTTATTATCTTTTTCTTTCACATTGAAAACTTTATTTTTAATATCATTTTTCTTTTATCCTTCAGTACATGTAAAATTGTTTCGATGAACACTACCAATGTTGTTATCAATTGTAAAACAGCTGCCGAATGATATTAGATACTACTTTTTCCTTCTTTTGTCCTCAGACTATATCCACTAAGCATGTAGTCAGCTTACTGTTTATGAATCATTTAAAAGCTATGTCTTCTCTTTTAGCTATGTTAGCAATTTGATATTACAAGTTAAATATTTTTCAGTATTAGGATTTGCTTTTTTAATGTTTTAAATTTAGTTTTGAATATATAGAACTAACATTAAGCTAGGTATGGTGGCACATGTCTGTAATCCCAACCCTTAAGAAGGCTGAGGCAGGAGAATCACTGAGAGTTTGAGGCCAGCCTGGGATACATAGTGAACTTGAGGGCAGTCTGAACTACCTAGTGAACTCAAGAGCAATCTGAACTACTCAGTGAGACTATCTCAAAAGGAAAACACACACTCTCTCTCTCTCTCTCTCTCTCTCTCTCTCTCTCTCTCTCTCTCTCTCTAATTCAAAAGCCAAGCAATATAAAAAGGTATAATGAGGGCCAGGGAGATGGCTCAGTAGAATAAGCACTTCCCAGACAAGCGCAAGGGCCTGAGTTCAATCCCCAGTTCTACCAAAAAAAAAAAAAAAAAAGGTATACTCAGTTAAATCTTACTTCCTATCTGTACCCTTCACCCTGTCCCTACCCATATATTTTACCCATTTTATAACTTGATAGTTTCTCTTTCTAGTGTTTATTATTACAAAGATAGCTCTGTATATGTCCATCTGTGCATCTATAGGTATAAATTGGTATATATATGATTTATATAGCACTGATTCTTTTATATGCTAAATATATAGTTTTCCATTTTACTTTTGGAATTTAATGTGCCCTGACGATTACTGTGTATCAGTTAATAATGGTCCTTTGAAAAGAAAAGTAGTCATCTTTTGGGAATATTAATAGTTTGTTCAACCAATTCCTCCATCTTGCTTTGGATACATAATATACTTACTGGTTTACTTTTAAAGTAACCCCTTTAAAGTGTGCAAACAGTATAGTCTGTAAGGTCTCCTTACATAAAACCCAAACTCTCTGATGTGGCCTATAATCCCTCCCTCACCTACCTCTTCTACCTTGGTTTGTACAGCTGCCTTCCTAGTTCATTTATGTCCTCCTAGCTTTTAGCTCAGCTATGACCCTTTCAGGGACACTTTGCCTGACTGTTCAGTCTGATGAAGTTTCTTCCCTCACAAGTCACAATCAATTCACCCTGTTTATTTTCATATTAACTACTGACAATCTGATAAGTACCTTCTTGTTTTCATTTGGGCAGTATCATCTAGTAGTGTCTGAGAGCTTGAGCTTGAGCTTTGAGCCAAGTGACCTGATTTTTGAATCCTGGTTATGTGGCATGTTAACTTAGCACTATGTGCTTGCATTTCTTTAACTAAAAAGAAAGGTAATAATAGTATTTTCCCTACAGGATGCTATGAGAAATGGTTAATAAATATAAACACTTAATGAAATTACTTTTCACACTAAGTATAAAGTAAATGCTGGTAGAATGTGTATTACTGTTTAATTGTTCATTACCTCCCCTAAATAAGCTCCTTGACACAATAATATCAGGAGATAGAGCATGATTAATAGTTAAACCTCAACTCCCCTTCTTTTGAAACATTCTTGAAAATAATATGACAAAATGAATGCTTTCTCATGTACATCACATGCAGTTGTTAGATTCAGTAAATACTTTCATCAAATTCAGCATTAGAATAAGAATACCCAATGTTAACATGAACTGTGGAAGTTCTGGTTAATCAATAAAATCTGAGACGCAAATCACAATTTACTACTACCTAAATTTATTGCTGTTCTAGTGAATTACAGATTTGAACTATAAATGAAAAAATTGTTTCTTAGCAGATCATTAGCTACTGGTTGTTACTGATAATTAAAAAATGATATTATTACATAATTAAAGAAAGGTATTTTTCTACAAAAGCTGCAAAAAAAAACCATCCCAACAATAACTTTAACAAATATGTAGAATGTATCCTTTCAAAAAGAAAAAATTAGAAAGCTTTACTGAAAAAGATAAAACACTTAGAAAAATAGCATAGTGTTTCCAATTAGAATTATTGAATATTATAAAAATGAAATTTCAAATTATCAAATAGTCTTACATTGTTGCAAATCAAACTTTTGTTATTTTGGAGGGAATATGACTAAAATTTTTTGAAGGTCATATAAAAATGAAAGTGATGAATAGAAATGGTTTAGCATATATACTGTTATATGTGCTAAATTCATACTAGCTCAGTATTACAACATATGTGACAAGACTCTGAAGTTGACTGAGTGTGATATCAATGTCTCACTTGTGGAGAGGCGGGTACATCATTGAACTTTACAGCAAAGAGTCTCAGATGCAAGACATAATTCACCTAGAGTTTCAGAACGTGTCTAAGGTGGCATCACAATTATAGGGAGGATTCTAACTATTAATTTCAAACAAGTTATGGGAAAAGAGTAAATTTTTCACTTCATGGGTGTGCAGTGTAGAGTGACTACTCTGTTGCAGTTTGCTTGGGACTCTTCTGAGTTTTAGCATGTAGTTTCATGTACATCTCAGGAAACCTCAGTTGTGATCCAACTAGAATGGCTGATCGTTCTCATGCAGGCTGCAGAAAAGACGCTTTGTCTGCAGGAATGGAGAAAAATGACAGCAAATATCTCATCTGGTCTGCAGCACCACAGGGGTTCAGGAGCCCTTCGGGCCCTGAGTTCATGGTGCACAGAGTTCCCTCAGGAGCCATCACGGGTTTATTTAAGAATCTGCAGTGGAATTCTGAAGGGCTCTGGTAATCACCTGAAAAGTGTCAAATTGAAGCCACACGGCATGGTCTTCCATCTGGTAGCTAGTAGCAGGGCTTATAGCATTTGTTGTGTTGGCTTGTAGAATAATTGTCTTTGTAGGCTTTTTTCTTGGCAAATTATTTTTCCTGACATTTGTTTGCTTTTATTCTTTCACTGTTACCTTTCTGCTGTATCATTTAGTGGAAATATTTTCCAAGATTAATTTACTTGTGTTTTGCTTGATTTAAGGTGACAGATTTAATATAATCTAGATAGTTTTTTATGTATTTAGTATAGGGCCTAAAAGGTCTCCAGGGTCTCTCTACTTAGATCAGACTCATAGTGATTCCCTTGTTTTCAGCCTCCCAAGTGCTGGGATTACAGGTGCACCTCACCATGCCCACTCTTAATCTAGATAAATTTTAGTAGAAGACTTGATACTTGGGTGGTTTTAAGTTTATATAGCTGTCAGGTTGGCAAGTATGTTTTGTATCATCATGAGATTATCCTCTCTGTAAAATACGGCGGAGTTCCCCCCCCCCCAGTGCCCTCCTAAAATTACAGTTATGTAAAAGTTTGTACCATTGAGAAAAGTCTTTTAGAAATTGACTAGCAGTGCAAGCTACCTTTGCCTTCTTTTCAGTCTTACCTCTATGAAGATCTCCAAAACCGTACATTAAGAGCAAAATTCAGACCCTTTTTGTGTCCTGTGGTGTCCTAAATACTCATTGACAAGATAGCTGGATTAGAATGCTTGATTTGAAGGGCATCGACTCAGCTCCTAAGTTTTCTCATAATGCATCACATAAAATGGCAGGCTAACTCGAGAAGAAAATACAAAATTGTGACTTTTTATAATGAAACATGAGGTACATTTCTGTTCATGTTTCCCTATAATTTATAAAATGTATTTGTTCTAAATTAACCTCAGTTAGTCTGTTGAGATGTCTGGGTGGGTAGTTATAAAAAGTAAAATATAATCATCACAACTAAAATATTTCCTTTTTCTTTTTTTCTTTTTTTCTTTTTTTTTTAGTGTCTAAAAAGCACGGCAAGCTCATCACTTTCTTACGAACATTCATGAAGTCTCGTCCAACAAAACAGAAGCTAAAGCAGCGGGGGATCTTGAAAGAGAGAGTGTTCGGTTGTGACCTTGGGGAGCACCTTCTAAATTCTGGTTTTGAAGGTAAAGGGAAAAATTTTAAGCTTATAATAATCAGTTTCTGACCACTCCCTGTTGAATTTTTATAACCAGTTGTGAAGAAGACTGGCAAGTGTTACCTGTTTCGTTTCAGTTCTGTAGTAAATACTGAGATTTTGGGTTCTGGGTAGAGCTGGTAGTGAAAGTGCCCCACGGCGTCTGGGTGTTGATGAAGAGTACCAAGAGCACGCAGAGAACACAGAAGCGTTGCTATTCGCTCTGCATTGTTGCTTTTCTCTCTCCAGGTACCTTCTTTAGACAGATTTTTCCTCTTTCTATTTGATTTTTTTGGGGGGGGGGTTAATAACCAGGCCTTCACAATGAGCTATATCTCCAGTCCCATTAAATGTTTGTTTTTATTTTGTTGTCACTGCTTTTTGACCTAGAACCTTACTAAGTTTTCTTGGCAGGGCTCCAGCTGTGATCATTCTGCCTCGGCCTCCACAACACTGGGATTCTAGTCATGTGCCACCACGTACAGTTCTGAAATATTAATTTTCTCTTAAGTTAAATTCTGAATCAAGAATTTAGTGATTGAATAAATAGATGAAAGGAATGGATTGGTAAGAAGGAAAGGAAATTTTTTTTAAATATATTTTTAAAATAGCATTTTCTGTTCTGTCTGCTTTAGAGATGCTAGAATATTAAGGAGTTACCTGTCATGTCAGAACTAAAGGATTTGTGGGATTCTAAATCCTGATATCAAAGACTCATTTTGGCTTTTTAGATGACTGCTTGTGGAGACCAGTGGTGAATACCTTCGATACTGTTATGTCCGAATTAAGACCTTGCTACTCAGTTCCTAAAGACTTCTCATGGACTTGTTGTAGGAATTTAATGCAAACTATACTATCTTCATGAGAGTAAGGAACATATTATTGTACACATATCTTATACCCAAATTAACATCAACTTAATATACTTTCTTAAACTAAAAAGCTCTGAGGATTATTTTTGTAACTAGTCAAAATACAAAGTGGAAAAGTTATTGTGGGGGAAAAAATCAGATAAGATGGGAAATATCCAGCTTTACCAGATATAAGAACAATATTAAAAACTAAAAGGAGAGCTTTGTGCCAAGAAAAGTGTGTGTCCGATTGCTTAGGATATTCAAAACTGTTTAGTCCTATCAGTAAGAAAAGTATGGCTTTCAAGCCATGTTATGGAGAAATTATTTATAATAATAGTATAGAGATAATTAAAAAGAAGTTAACAAAAAATTAATTCCCACTTCATGTCACCAAAAATTCCTGTAATTATATAAAGAACGTTAACTACTTTATTTATTTGCTTATTTATTTTTGAGGGACCAGGGATTGAACTCAGACTGGACATGGTGGTATGTGCCTATAATCCCAGCGCTTGGGAGACTAAAAACAGGAGAATCACTATGAGTCTGATCTACATAGTGAGACCCTGTAGACCCTGTACTAAATACATTAAAAAAAGATTATTTTCTTTGATCATTAAGAATGTAAGGAAAAATCTTTTTAAAGATTTAAATTTCACATATACATAGTCTTATACCTACAATTGTATGTCTGTGTCTATATCTATCTACATGTATATTTGCATATAATATATAAATGGAGACTATTTTGAAGTCTAAAAGAATTGGAAATCAATATATATATATATATATATATATATATATATATATAATACAGTATATTTAATCTCAGCATAATCATATGCATTAATTTTGAGGAGTAAATCAAAAAGTAAGGTCCAGCCAAATAGCTCAGCGGATTAAAGCACCTGCAAGCAGGTGCGGGGTCTGAGGGTTTGCTCCCTGGGCCTGTGGTAGCAGCCCTGCCCCTGGGGTGCACTGAGACAGCGACTGAGACTGGCTGTGGTGGGCTGGGGAGATGGCTCAGTGGAATAAGCACTTCCTTGGCAAGTGCAAAGGCCTGAGTTCAATCCCCGGTTCTGCAAAAAAAAAAAAAAAAAGACTGGGTGTGGTGGCACGCGCCTGTAATCCCAGCTTTTGGGAAGCTATAAACAAGTGGATCACTACGAGTCTGATCTAGTAGTGAGACTCTGAACACCCTGTAGACCCTTCCCTAAAATACAAAAAAAAGCAAAAGGTGTATGTAAAATAAAGATACATCATGTGTGTACCTCACAAGTATTCTATTTTGATTTAAGTTTTAAAATATGTCACATAGTACTGTTCGGATCAACCATGGACCACCTATAGGACATTCATCCTGTCAAATTATAATGTAGGGGTTAGGGAGATAGCTTGGTGGTCTAAGCACCTGCTTGGCGAACTCAAGGGCCTGGGTTTGATCCCCAGTAATGCATGCCATACCACTGTGCCAGCTACTGAAACTGAATGTGGGAGTGCACGCCTGTAATCCCAGCGCTCGGGAGGATGAGACAGGAGGATCACTGCAAGTCCAAGCTGCATAGCGAGACCCTGTACCAAATAAATAAATAAATAAATGATTTTTTAAAAAATATTGTAATGCAGCTGAAAATTTCCTATTGCCTTTTATTAGATGGGCTTCAAAAACTCTACCCTTGGCCAAGCAATGGCCGTGACTCATCCACATGGCTGCACTGACAAAGGTTCTACAATCTGAGGTACAGGATCTCAGGATAAATCCTGAGGGGATTTCACTGACCTTCTCAGACCAAAAAGCTACAACTCCTGTTGCACAGGTCCTGCTTTACCTTGGTCTTAACCATCCAGTAGAAAAGTATGAAGACGAAACATAGGAAGTAAAGCCATGCTGTTATGTTGAGCTGTGGGGGACTCAGGTCAATAATTTCTGACATTGCCAGTTAAACAGAAGACCCAATGCCATTATGGGCTACTGGACTCTTTTAGAATATTTTGCTGAGTTTACACACCTATAATATTCAATAACAGAACTTAGAAAAAATGGGGTATACCGATGAATGTCCATTTTGTATCTGTGTATTCAAAGTGGTTAGGATAGATATATAGTTGCATTCTCTTAATAAATAGAATGATTTGTTCTAATGGTGTTTGTAAATAGGATCTCAAGTCCGCATCTTGTACAGCAATTAACTACTAAGAAGAATATATGCAGTATGTTATTTGTTGAAACTGTACTTCCGATTTGATTTGAAACTGTCTCATTGCTATCTGTTTATCAATAAAATTTTGAAAAGAAAAAAAAAAAAACTCTACCTTCTGGGTAAGGGTATAGCTCAGTGACAGAATACTATGTAGTGTGCATAAAGCCGTGGATTCGGTCCCTACCACCAGCAAATAAATCCTAGTACAACACATTACTTGTTGGTGTAAACAGACCTACTGAGCTAATGATTGTGTAAAAGTATAGCACACACGGGTCAGGGAGATAGCTCAGCAGTCTAAGCACCTGCCTGGCAAGCACAGGGACCTGTGTTTGATCCCTGGCACTGCATGCCATGCCAACCCTGCTGAGCCAGCCACAGAAACCAGGTGTGGTGGCACACACCTGTAATCTGAGCTCTGGGGAGAGTAAAATAGGATCACTACGAGTCCAAGCTGTATAGTGAGAACCTGTATCAAATACATAAAATTACCAATAAATCAATTAATTAAATATATATACCACATACAATTCTAATTATGTACATGATTAATGATACAAATGGCTGTATATATGGTTGTGTATTTACTATACTTTTTTTTGCTGTTTCTAAGACTTTTTCTATGTATTAAAATCTTCACTGTGAAGCAGCATACTGCTTACTCTGTCATGCTGGCAGCAGCCTCCTACCTCTCATACTTGCTATCTCTAGATTTAGGGTACTCTTATGCTTCCTTCAGTCACATGTTGTTTTGCTCTTGACTTCAAAGTGAACAAAAGCCACTGGTAAGTCACCAGTAAGCGGCCACACTGATTGACATGGAAGGACTCTGAAGGGTGGGTGGTGGTTGTAGCACTTAGGCATGTCCCATCCCACCAGTGCTACAATTTAAACAAGAAGAACAAAGTGATGGAAGCTGTTAAGAGTGTCTGCTTCAGAGAAGAAAGCAAAATAACAAAAATTCCAGAAGAGCCTGTGTCAGATAAAGAGCAACTTAGTAACCTCCCTTGAAGCCCAAGCACCCAGGTGTCTCCCTTTTGGCACCCTGATGATCACAGTCAAAGCAAGCAGTATGGTTGTTTTTTTAGTACTGAAGGAAGAGGATCCACCTCACTACAGTGTTCGTTTGCTGCTAGCTGTGACAAATTTAAGTGATTAAAGAATCATTATTCATTACATAACGTGAACGTCAGTAGTGCAGTGAGTGCTGATGTAAAACCTGCTGAAGAATTTCTGGAAAATCTAGATAGGCTGTCTGTACTTCACAATGGTGGAAACCTCCCTGTTCTGGAAGTGGATGCTTTGATTCATGTGGAGGCCAAGTCAGTGCCAGATTTCAAGATAGTCTTGCTTATAAGAATGTTGCAAAATAAAACCTATGGTGACCTAGCCCAGTAAGGATCCAGGACTGTCAAGCACATGAATAAACTCACTTCATACTGCAGGGGCAATAAGAAGTCATGGTTGACCCAGTTATTCTTCCAAGATGCACTTCTGAATGACTGTGACAGCCAGATGGAGAAGACAATAGCCTATCTTAGAAGAGTTTACCTAACGTTGATAATACACCAGTATATCCTCCTCCTGGTAATTTCTCTCTGATAACAAAGTGGTGTTGCTTCCTCTAAACACCACCTCTCCAGCCACTAGATAAAGGAGTAATAGCAGTGTTTAAGATCTAGTGTATGAGGGGCATTTGGCCAAGCTATTGTAGCTATAGAGAACGACACTGGCACAGTTCTGGGAGATTCAAAACATCTGTAACTGCAGCAAGAACTTTCTTGGAATGGAGTGATTTTCACCAAGGAATATATGGGCATCTGGAGGAAGTCACTCAACAGATTTGTCCTGACTTCAGAGGATCCAGTGAGGATGAGGAGGGTGCTAAAACCAACAAGGCAGTGGCCGAAATGGCCAGTAGCTTCACCTGGACT